CCCCAAAACCCCAAAACCCCAAAACCCCAAAACCCCTAAAAAATAATTAAATATTGAAATTCATAGCAGATATGATGTTTGAAAAACTACTAAGCTTCGGAGGGTTGGTCAAATTAGAGACTATCACTGCGTATGGGGCATCAGCACTAAGACTTCTGAATTATATCGGACCATTCCTGGCAGTAGCTGTGTACTTACTAATTTTCGCAAATTTATTTATATTCTTTGAAGTTTTGTTTCCAATGATTTACCGAAATTATGGCCCTTTTCAAACATGGCTGATGTCCATATTCGGCTTATATCTCGCCTTTAACATTTGGTTTAACCATCTCATGGGAATGATGATCAGACCTGGAAACTTAAAAGATTATTATCTCAATTATGCCACAAAGGAGCAAGATTTACGTAGAAAAGAAGATGTATTAAGACATAAAACAGAGTCTGATTCAGGGACGGACATGAAAAGTCTTCTCAAGCATTCACATTGCGACATAGATAATGCAATTGATGTTAATGGTAGAGTTTGCGAAAAATGAGCTTGGTATCAATCAGTTGAAAATCATGACACAGAAAAATATGAGCAAGGAGATCATCCCTATAAGCCTATTAGGTTCCATCATTGATCTATCTGTCAGGATTGAATCATGAATATGGATCATCATTGACCTTGGTTTAACAACTGAGTTGGATTGAATAATAATAGATACTTCTTGCTTTTCCTTTTCCATTTATGGATATCTAATATTTTCATGCTATATCATTTGTATGAGTGCAGTGGACAACCACATTTCTACAAGCATGGAAGTATAGCTTCTATTGGCTTAGGAATGCACGTTGGACTCTTCTTTGGAATAGGATTCTTCAATATATGGCAATGGTATCTCACTCTTAAAGGCATCCCTCAAGTTGAATTTATTCAGACCAGGCTAAATAGAAAAATGAAGTCTGGAAGTTATACACACGATTTTGGATTAAAATCATGCAGAGATAATTTATACATGACCTTTGGAACAAGGAATTTATTTGCTCAATTTCTTCCTTCTTTGAGATCACTACCTTTGAATGGACTTGAATTTAGTGCTCAGAAGAAGTCTTCAACTTGATTTACTAAAATGTAACTTTCTGAATCAATTCGGAGTGATTATCCTGGGGTTTTGGGGTTTTGGGGTTTTGGGGTTTTGGGG